TGTGTGTGTGTGTGTGTGTGTGCCCGTGTGTGCGTCTGTAACGAGTTTTCATCTCGAAATTCACAAAAACTACAAGGCTGAGACTTTGGTAACTTAATCTACAAGTACATGAGGGTCCCTATCTTCGGAATGAACGCTTACTTCTACGTGGTCCCTAAATATTGACACATGAAAGTTTTTTTGGCAGGGATGCGTTTTCGGGAACGGCGCAGGCTAAGAGGCTGAGACTTTACAAAGATATTCCTTGGCCGCGTCTGATTCAAATATTTCAAATTCAGCCGTCTCGCACCCTTATGTCTCATGTTTGCACACGTCAAACTTTAAACTGGTATTATGCCAACTTTAGATTTAAATTGACCGAGAAATTGTAGGGAGCTGCGATTTTGCAGCTTTACTTGTCACCTTCTGTTGTGTCCGTGAAAGTAAGTTTAACTTTCGAGCCCTTCTGCATCTCAAATACGGGCAAGTAAAAATTTCACGCAGGCGCTTTTGTAACTTCGGAATTGAAGCATCTAGAGGACTGAAACCTCCTGAGCATAACTGACGATGGCCTTTGATCAGACGGACGCAGAAACGACCTTTATGTCCCTTTCACTTTCTTAGCTAGAAGCATCTGCAGTCTCACGTACACACACACACGTGAAATTTGATGTAACTTTGTAGTCAAAACAGCTAGAGCGCCGGAATTTTCTGAGGATTGCCTAGGGCCGTATTTGAACAAGCGCACGTTTTAACAGCATTGACGTTGCCAATCACTTACGAACACGTAAAGTTTGACGTAACTCTGCAGCCGAAGCATCTAGAGTGCTGAATTTTTTGGGCGTGGATTGGGAGTCACTGTAATAATTTTTAACAGTCATGGTGAGTACTCTCAATTCTCTTAGCTAGAAGCATCTGCAGGAAAAACAGTGCAACTAACGACAAAAACCTGCAGGGAAACTATGCAAAAAACGCATCTTCGCATCGGCAGCCGGTGCGCTGTCGACTAAGTTGCATATTTGCAAATGTAACCCAGGCTGGAACGCACCAGTCTTGCCGGTGCGAGCACGCGTTTTTTCACTAAACTCGCAGGTCGCTAATAGCAGGAATGATCCCTGCGCTATAGCCTAACACAGGCGCATATTGGCCGTGCTTTGGCCTCTTCTGGCATGCAGGAGAAAGGGCGTTGGTTGGGATGAAGGTGATACATTGTAGGCCGCATGAACCTCCAGGAATATGAATACCAGTTTCTTGCATGAACCCT